TGACCACTGATAAAATCTGACACATGATAACATGCTATGAGCACCACAACAGAAGGCCTGCCAGCTAATATTGCAGCCATTAATATTGGCACAAGGAGGTACTGAAGTGTTCAAGCACCATAATCCATAACTTGCCCCTCCAGGATCCCAGCTAATTTTATGATGCTTTGATCTTGTACTTGATTCCACAGATGCATGTAGGGAAGGCACTTGTGTGCCAAAGCATAACCTCAAAATAGGGTGAAAACCTAAGCATTACTCAGTATAGCTCTTCATTGGATCATGATCAAAGTTTGCCACATTTCATGTTAACTTGGGCACAAAGTCATGTGATCTTGTTGAGATGGTGACATGCCATGCTTGGAAATGGTTGATCTTTTTAGCTTTGAACTGTTAAAGTTAAGTCAAATTTTGAATAAGGTCTAGCCACTTCATAGTATAACTCACCACTTTTTAAGGTTATAACAATGTTGCTTGTGAACAAACATTAGTTTACGATAAACTTTGACTGTTCCAGCCACAGAATGAAGTTTGTTACAAGTTTTAAGTTCAATATGAAATGAACCTACACACCATATCCTTTTCTAAATCCCAAAACATGAATGCTATAAGCAGGGCTGTAGAATCATGTTGTTAGAGAACCTTGCCTATATGACCTGCCACCCAGCCTTTCCCATGTCTTCCAAGCTGGTGGTTGCAAAACCTAGAGAGGAGAAAAGGCTGGCAGAGCAGAACTGATTTTGGAAGGACTACTTGTCATGTAATGTCACAGGGTGATGGTGAAATTTGTATTTAATTATGTTGGCAGCTGTCTCTTTGGCCCCTACTCCCAATTTTTCCTTGTGCAGAGCCATTCCAGCCTGATACCAGCCTGCCAAGTTACAAAAAGCACATGCCACCAGTTATAACTATATAAATTGATGGCCCAGAGAGCAGACTTGCAGCAAAAATATCAGTGTCCTGAGTTTGAAGCATGTCCAACCAGTAATTTCCACCCCTAGGGTGATAATGTTCAACAAAATTAGGATCTTGTAGTAGCCATTTACAGCAAAAAAGAAGAAAGAGAAATAGGTATTCACACTGAAAACTTCTCTGAGGTTAACGGAATTGAAAAAAACATTACACACAAGTTAGCCTGAACTACATTTAAAACATACATGCACCAAATCAAGTACATCATGTTCACATCACATCCAACACTGAAGAATGTAATGTTTTTTTGGGCTACTGGCCAACATGTGAAAACAATAGCAAATGTAAAAATAAAAGTATGATGCATTGATTTGCCCAATATCACAAAAAGTCATACATCTGAGGACAAAACAGTATCTAAGCCCCGGGGATACTCTAGGACGATTAATCAGGGACATAGCAGCCCTTATGGTTTTGCGAATCTGGAACTTCGGCAATTCAGGAGGCTAGGTATGAAAAGACTGCTGCGTTGAAGTGATGCAGAAAGATTGAACCTACGATTCACACCAATAGTATGCCGAAACGTCCAATCGCGAACGCGGCCCACCGTCGCGACAGATTGCACGATTTGTATTGGGTCTGGGGCGAGAAACACGGAGATAATACGCACATCGCTCCCCGTCACGCTATCAAATGTAAACGATAACAACAACAAAGGAAAACAGCTGATACGGAAACGACATTGGTCAACTTACCCCACAATTGTCGAATAAATGAATTGCCCGCGCAAAGGAAAGGCTTAAGCAAAGCAAGATATCCGCTTTCCCTCATTGTGTTACAAATTCGAAAACTTTTTCCTGAAATAACTTTTAAAACTTTTGGACTACAAAGGTGTAGGCAGTTCATCCGCAGCTGATACATTTACCATGCCCGTTGCACAATAACATGCCTGTCGCATTCGAGCAGTACGTTGCGTGGTGCGTGTGTGGGGTGCGGGTCTCCGGGATATTTGTCATCGATATTCTCTGACGTCTGGGGTTTGTGCGACCGATTTTTGACTATAATTTCGCCTTCGACATTATTTTTAGGTTAAGGTGAGAAGCAAGAAAGTGTAACATGATTGTATATTACCATGATGGTCAAAATTCGCACCATCTAACTGCATACATATAATGAATGGACTGTGTTTAAAGATGGAGTCATAGTTATAGATTATGAAAATGGTGTTGCCTATTTGTTTTGCATGGTTATTCAATGACAAAATGTGTGGCAACATGAAGAAACATGCTAATGAATTAAGTTATCCAATTGTTAGTGAAATGAGGAAATTTGTGGTAACATGGAACATGATAAATGAACTAGTGTGCTCTCACATTAAAAATCTATACTTACTTCTAAACAAGTTTCTTAAGGCACAGTTTTCAAGGTTGTCTCTGTTTTATCAAGCATCATTTCTTAGGCATGGCAGAACACCCTAAAGAAAATTCAAGCATGACTGATGAGGAGCGTCAGAAGTTGGCTAAATCTCTGGATGACGATTTGGACAGCTTTATAGGAAGCCTGAAGAAAACAAAATACAAAGATGGCTGGAAACCTGATACATGGGAAAAGGTAAGTTTGTCATAATCATATTGTGTGACACTCACTGTCAAATGCCCTCTAATGCAGGAAATGTTCTATAAAACTGCTTTTGGCACTCACAGCCTGTATGGAGGTGATGTTTTTGCTGTTGTTTTGCTGCTGATGTTTGATGTTTAACTGTTGACAATTAGTAAAAGACCACTTTCCTCTAGGGACCAGAGCTGATTTTGTCTGGAAATGTCCATGCCAAGTACTAAGGCCTGCTGTCCAGCTCAAGGGTAGATGAGGCCAGACAATGCATAAATTTGATTGTGATTGTAATGTGATCCATTGAATACCCTTATTTTGCATGAGGTTGATCAAAAGCCGTTTTTGGTAGGAAATGCAAGAGCATCCATTCTTCAGGAGCAAGCCATTTGAGGATGGAGAGGAGCTGCCTCCTCTCATCCAGGGATTGCAGGATCTGAAATATGACAAGACTCTTCATACTGAGGAAGGTTGGTCTTGTGTTGAGATAAATATCCTTACTACTGCTGCTAACTTTACAGCTACTGGAGGGATAGTTTGTGGTATACTGATGGCCTTGACTTGTATGATGGTTGCATTTGGCAGTGTCTTTTAACCATGCTACACTTCTGTGTTCCAAATATTGCCTGAACACTCCACCAAGGTATTGTAATTGCAGCACCAAAGACAATTCTGCCCAAGGCCATTTCGTACAGTGCCATAACGTGGCTGCTCCCTGCCAGTTGATGTCACTTTTGAAATGACCCAAATATTATGCCCGTAATTCGATCAGATCATTTTCACCATGCTGATGCTGATCATGCTAACATGCTTGTATTTTCATAGCATGCTGTTGCTGCCTATCCTTTCGGCTTGTTTACACAGGCCATTGCGGATGTGTTGACTGGTTACATGTGACATCGTCGCTATCCTGAGTCTCACGTTTCCTTGCTCGACTAACATCACGGTTGTTCTTTGAAGTTGACTGATGCTCCGGCTTCCCCGTCGATGCGCCGCCTTTTCATGACGGGGCGGGGAGGGGTAGGGGTGGGGTGACTAAAAATCTTGCGGGCGGAAGGGGATCTGCAAAGAGTCCTTGCCGCCTGAACGAGGGGACGGGGTGTAGTTTCCCATTCAGTTAGAGGACTTCAGCCCCCCCCCCCATCGACTTGGGCTTCAGCCCCCCCCCCCATCTTGGGCTCCAGCCACCCCCTCCCAAACTTGGGCTCCAGCCCCACCCCCAAGTTTGGGAAGACCGTGGGCCAAATCTGAGGAGAAACCTGTGTTTTGGCATAGTTTGGTTGGGAAGATTGGGCCATTTTTCACTGTTCAACCCCTTGACTCAATTTGGAGGAGGGAGTTCAGGTCAATAACGCTTCGCAGTTCGATCAATAATGCCTCCTTGTTCCGACATGAGTCGCTGGAGTCCAAGGAAGGGTTACATTCTTTTCATGAAGAATTACATTCTTTTCATGTGACATTTCATCTTATGAAGCTATTTCCTTGGTCTTTGTGAAACGGTGGGTGTAGATAGTGGTGCTTGCGTGTTTTGCTGGGCGGGAATTTTTGTTTTTTTGTTTCGGCTCGTTAAGTTCGGCGTGTATTTTGATTTTTTAGAATGGCTATTTTCGTTACTGATTATATGCTCTGCAAATTAGAGCCCATTGCCAGCATCGTGTCTGGTCAAAATGCGGAACGAGAGGCGGTCTAATTATTTCGGACCACTGGGCAACTGGTTTATTGGATACCACATTGAAGCTGGCGCGTTGTGTGGGGCCGCCCTGCGTCTTGACTTTTCCCCGTATCTTGGTCATTCGATGTCATTTATATCCAAAATGTATGTGAAGATGAATGGTAATGTTAAGTGCGCGCGGCACATCTACTCTTATCCGTTCTTGCATCTGCAAGTACGTGCATTTTCGCTGATATTGTGAAATGTGACACGTTTCCAAATATCTCAGGGATAAACGTTTCTCAAGTCACTGTCGCGGTTTCGCTTCCACGTATCACTTAGAGCCTACAGCACGAACACCCTGGCACATCAACGACGCAGCAAGCAAATTCGGCTGAAAAACATGGCAACGCCTATCAGCACGCTCAGTATGGTAGTAGCATACAGTCGGAATCGACGTTTTTGACCGACGGGAGGCGCGCTGCACTCACATCATCGTGTCTCTGGTCTCCAACTGATATTTAGAATCCTCGTTATCAAAAGCTAATGGCGGGATCATTATTGATTGCTCTGATTCTGATTACTTTGTTTTGTTCACGTTTGCCTTTTCACATTACAGCTCTGAGTGCACGACATTGTTAACGACTGGGTGACTGCCTATCAGCGGATACGAGAATTGGTCGGTTATTGTTGCTGCATGCACGTTTTACGCTGGTATCTGATGCGCTTAGGCAGGTCATCTCTGGCGGCTTCCTGATCTGTTTCGCCGCGTGGCGGAATATAAAGCAACAGTGATTTGATGATGTGTACGAATGCCCAGTGCGTATTTTCATCACCACATTCAAGGACATTATTCGCACGACCAATCCAAATCGTACGATGAGGTGTACATACACACTGGCGCCGGAAGCACACGTCGCCTGGCCATGAAAGGCGTTGCACAACATTGGCTCCGTTCGGTGACCAAGCCCCGCCCAGTCGTGGCACGGCAACCGTACCGCAATCGGAGGGGCGAGAACAGCCGGCTGAGGACAGCATGGTACTTGTCCACTCTCGGTCTTCGCGAATGATGGGCTCGAGGCGAATAGAGGTTGTGGAGGCTAGACCTCCCGTGTGCTGGGACGCGACGCTGTTATATTATTGTTTCTATGCCGACTGGCCGTGACGTTATCAAAGCCCACTTACTTCGAAAAATCCCCGGGGCGTTAAAAGCGGTCGTTCTTTCGGGAGCTCGGCGGGTAGCGCCCCGTGCATGTGTTTCCTGCGGACGCTTTTTGGGGGCATTCGTAGAAAGGACTATGGATAGTGGTTGGACAAGGCTACATTCACCGTTAAGCCCTGCGCCGAGACATAGGCCGCACAGGGACACCTCTTCGGGGCATGTGTGGACGCTCGTACGGTCCTTAGGGCACACTTCACCCTCACTCTATGCTGACGTATACAGGTTACCCCGGGCAAACGAGACATTGGGACGGTGCTGGATCAAGTATGAGCGAGACAAGAGGGTCGGATGTGGAATATTTACCGGTCCTTTTTCTCCCCTTCGTTCCGAAGATGGCGTGGTGTTGGCTAGACTTGTTGCGATCTTTGTCGCTGTCTGACACCTGTATCTGATCAGTCAGGCAGCTGTCCCGACTGTCAGCGCCTGACCGTCCCGTCAGACGTGTTGAGCACGTGACCACAACCTAACACAGACATAACGCGACACGTTCATACGTGCTTACATCTACAAATGCACTGACAACTGCCCACAGGTAAGCGCGCTTAAATCTTAGCGCTTACACTTGTATGCATGGGCACTTCCTACAAAACAAACGTGCACAGCATTAGATTGCTGGCGTAAACAGCCATTCGAAAGCACGCAAATCTGGAATACCAGGCTACAATGTAATAAATATGCTGAAAAATCAAAAGTTAGAAGTAAAGACGCGGACGGAAGCCCAACTCACTTTTGGCGGTGGGCCTCCTCCCGCGCCGTTGTGTGCCACCTGTCGCGGAGAACATGTTGGATACGGAGGACCTGAGGGTCTGCACGAAGACGGGCATGGCCGGGCGTGAGTACGGCGTCACCGACGTGCGGCGGGCCGGCGCTGCTGGTCGTCCAGCCGTGTTGGCATCGCCGCGTCATCGGCTGACGACGTGTGGTGAAACCGTGAATCAGCCAGCGCCGACCGGCGGACGGAGCCCCCGCGCCACCCCCCACCCCCCCCCCCCCGCCCCCTCCAACAGGCTTGGGGAAGTCCAGGCATTGCCGTGGAGCGCATTCTGAGGGAGGGAGACGCGTATGGGGTAGTTGCTTGTGCACTTTTTGCCTTTCCATGCGTTTCAAGACTAACACGGACCCGGGCGGCCGGTTGGATACCCTTCGCTCGGGTGGGGTCAGTTTGACCCCCTGAGATATCGGGAACTAAGAGAGCTAGAGACACCAAACTTACAGGGTGTGTTGGCCTGTACGTGAACTCCCTTAGGTCAAAGTTTGAGCTTCCTAGGTTATGGCTTCCGGATCAAATAAGGTCAAACAAGGTCAGACTCCAGATTGTTCTCCAAAGTCCTCCAGAACCTAGTTACCTGTTCTAATCAAACGGTCACATGCTTATTTAAGGTCAGTGACCCTGTTTGACCTTTCGAAGGTCATGTTTGCCGAAATCATACAGGACTGCGTTGAGTTTTGTACTTGAAGAAGCGACAAAGATTACGTTAGACATTATGTTCCTAAGAGCAAAACGATGGCCTTTGGTTGCTTTAGGTCGATGACCTATTATGACCTTTAAGAAGTCACGAAAGATATATTTTGCGGTTCCTGTGATCAATAAATTCGAAATGAGCACTAGAAACTACCGTTTAAAGCAAACCCTACAGTAATAAAAGAGGTTGGTTGTGACCCTAGTGTGACCTTCATCCCTGACCCTGGGTCAGTGTAATTTGTTAATCCAATTGTTGTATTGCCTAATAAGTATATCAGATGTTTATGCTTTGTCGAACACTCCGTTGTTTTATTAGATTGAACGATCCCCTAGAATTGACTTCACTAAATCCATGGCTTGACTTTGGCCTGCTACAGGTGAGTGACCTTACAAAATACATTAATTTTTTACACCACACGATCCGCTATTCAATTTTCTACAGCCGTGCAAAGTTTGGCGTGGTTTCGTCGCGCCGTTCGGAAATCATTCCGGGAAAGCCTTCGGAGGGTGGTCAAATTTACCCCCTCCCCCTCCCACCCGAGCGCGTGCTTATACAGGGTTGTACCGAATGTGGTTGCTTTCGTCCTAATCCGTTGTTTCCGAGTGCAAGGCCGTGGAAACTGACATTGACACAACAGCCAGACAGGCACTCAGACATTATCAGATTTTAGACGTTCGCAAGTTTTCTCAAACGAATTATTATTTTACACAATGACTTGAGGCAAATGATTCGCAGGAGTGGCATCAAAAACCGAAGCGAGAGCCAAAAAATGGAGGCAACTTTCAGCAGACGCGACAGTCGCCTTAATGTGAACTTTTGCGCATGTTCTGATGCAGGATGCCGCGAAATGATGGTCGTATATTGTCACCTTTTCACATGTGGAGCCTTTGGGATTTGGGTAAAATGTGTTTGGAAATTCACTAAGCTTTTAGGACTATCAGATGTGACCAAAACGGTATGGCCGGAAAACGTGAACCTTTACCCCACGCACTTTTTGGGTCTGAAGCAAAATATAAAGGGCTTGTCCCTTTATGCTTTCGTACCCTTATAATATGCTGGATTTTCGGGAAATGTGAACCTTTACCCGACGTGCTTTTTGGGCCTGAAACAAAACATAAAGTGCTTACCCCCTTATGCTTTCGTCCCCTTATAATGTGCTGAATTTTGACCAAGGTGTAAAAGAAATGAGCGTAAAATTGATTACATTAATGAAATATTGTATCCATAGATGGCTTCGTTATATTAACTTCGTATAATACATTGCCATTAGCGGTACTTGTTCCAGCAGAGAAAGTGCTGTCGTGCTCATGAATGCATGATTCACAATGCATGAGTTCTGAACCTTTACCTGAAATCACCAGGTTCCAGATGACCACCTGGTGTGAAATTTGAAAGTGTCTAGCAAGTGCCTAGCCGCGAGGGATCACTCGGATCCCTCACGGCGTAAGAGGACAGGACAAACCCTTCAGTGGCACTCGTTGGCGGCCTGACGCGGCGGCCACGGCGGGCCGGGTCACCCGCGAGCGCTGACGCTGGCCACGTCTCCACTGTTCTGCACAGCTTGAAGTTGAACACTGCTTTCGGAAATCACAGTCTTCTTTCCGAATGGTCCGCACGCAGAGCTGGCGGCCACGTTCAAAGAGGACGGCAACATCTGCTTCAAGGTGAAGAAATATCGACACGCGGTGGACAACTACTCGGAGGGTCTGCGACAGCGCCACACGAACACGGAGCTGATCACCCAGCTACTGACCAACCGGGCGGCGGCGCACTTCTATCTGGGCAACCTCAGGTCAGCAGCCGGGAATCCAGGTCCCCTGCGTTACATCACCGACGTCCAGAACAGCTCAGGTCCACTGTCTTACACCACCCATGCCTATCGACCACGTTTACCAGTGTTTTTCATCACCAGCCGCCGCAGCGACCTCTCACCACCAGTTTCGCCGTCCCTGTGGTACGCTTTACAGTGCCCTGCTGAGCATGCCCCTCCGACGCCGTCCTGTGGACGATGTCACTCAGACTGCGGCCCGTTGACCGCATACGGCTGACCGCCCGGCTGTGCGCGTCCCCTTAACGATGTTCTGCTGCATTGTGCCGGCCAAGTCATGCTTATAGTGCCCTCTTCGTGTTCCGCTTGATATCCGTGACTATGTGCAGCACACCTTGTGTTGGCGACTATCTCCTACTGACCCGGTCTCGCTGACCGGTGTCCGCTGACTTGTGTTCTGCTGACGGCGGCAGGTCGGCTGTGTCCCGTTGACCTGTGTTCTGCTGACGGCGGCAGGTCGGCTGTGTCCCGCTGACCTGTGTTCTGCTGACGACGGCAGGTCGGCTGTGTCCCGCTGACCTGTGTTCTGCTGACGACGGCAGGTCGCCGCTGTGTCCCACTGACCTGTGTTCCGCTGACGGCAGCAGGTCGGCACTGTGTCCCGCTGACCTATATTCTGCTGACGACGGCAGGTCGGCTGTGTCCCGCTGACCTGTGCTCTGCTGACGGCAGCAGGTCGTCACTGTGTCCCGCTGACCTGTGTTCTGCTGACGACGGCAGGTCGCCGCTGTGTCCCGCTGACCTATATTCTGCTGACGGTAGCAGGTCGGCGCTGTGTCCCGCTGACCTGTGTTCTGCTGACGACGGCAGGTCGGCATTGTGCCCCGCTGACCTGTGTTCCGCTGACGTCGGCAGGTCGCCGCTGTGTCCCGCTGACCTATATTCTGCTGACGTCGGCAGGTCGGCACTGTGTCCCGCTGACCTGTGTTCTGCTGACGTCGGCAGGTCGCCGCTGCGGGACTGCTGACCTGTGTTCCGCTGACGTCGGCAGGTCGTCGCTGCGGGACTGCTGACCTGTGTTCCGCTGACGTCGGCAGGTCGTCGCTGCGGGACTGCGAGCGGGCCGTGGCGCTGACGGCTGGCCACCTGAAGGCGATCGTGCGGGCCGTGCAGTGCTGCACCGGCCTGGGCCGCTCGGCCGAGGCGGTGCGCTGGTGCGACCGCGGCCTGGCGCTGGAGCCGACTCACGCCGAGCTGGTGCGCCTGAGGCACGCCGCCGCCGCCACTCAGGTCAGCGGCGGGCGCCGGCTGGCCGGAAAGGGTGCGGGTCACGGGGCGTCCGGTCAGCACCGATGGCAGGCCACCGAGGCGTCGGGTCAGGACCGGGCGCGGGGTACCGAGATGTCAGAGAAGTCCGAGAAGGGCGTAAGTCGCCGGGACAGAAAGCAGGACTGGATGTGGCCCACCGAAACAGCGGGTCAGGGCACGACGTTGCGGTAGTGAGAAGCTCATCTGTGGCGCCGTTCCAGCGCGTGGAAGAACGGAACCAGAGGAAGGCGGCACTGAAGGAGCGGCAACAGAAAGCGGCGGATGACCAGCTACTGGAGGCGCTCCGGTCACGGGGCGTGCGCGTGCTGAACGCCGAGGGCAAGGCAGGTCAGTGTTCCCGAGCCGACGCCCCGAAACACGGCTGTCCGATTGGGACGCGTGTCACGGCGACGCCCGCAGCTGTTCCAATGCCGGCGCCGGCATGTGCGGCCCACGGCGTCAGCTGCGCGGCCTGGCGTGTTGGAATAACCGGCGGCCGGTCTCGGCGCTCGGTCCCGCCGGCACCCTCAGAGCTGTCCTGCGCGGTCCGAGGCCTGTGGTGCGGTGCGTCGTCGGCGCGGCACGGGACCATAGGCCGGCGAGCCCACTTGTGTACCAGTGCCGTGCGGTCGACGCCTGACCGGGGGTCCGGGGCGTGTTGCAGTGGGCGGCGCCGGCCTGCAGCCGGCGGTGCAGTATCCGCCGGCTCGCGCCTGACCGGGGGTCCGGGGCGTGTTGCAGTGGGCGGCGCCGGCCTGCAGTCGACGGTGCAGTACGCGCCGGCTGGCGCCTGACCGGGGGTCTGGGATGTTTTGCAGTGGGCGGCGCCGGCCTGCGACCGGAGCTGCTCAGTCCGCAGGTGCCCGGCTTGGAGAGCGGCGTCCGGCTGACGGACGGCGGCGTGCTCAGCTGGCCCCTCATGTTCCTGTACCCGGAGCACTCGCAGAGCGACCTGGTGCAGGCGGCGCTCGAGACCGACACGTGAGTGGTCGCCCTCCGCTCCGCCGGCTCGCCGGTGCCGGCCGCTGCCGCGTGCGATCCCCCGCCGCCTCGGCGACGGAACCGGATTGTCTGCCGGGTGTGCTAAAGCAATGTCATTGTTTCGGCTTGGGATGTGGTGGCAACGTGACGGCTGACCAGTGCCTGGGCAGAATTGATTGTCACGCCTGTGTCGTGCGCCCGTGATTCCCTAGCTGACCTGGCGTGGTGAGCCGGCGGAAAGATTCAGCTGGAGCGAACGCTGCCCAAGTGGATGAGTCATGGCCCGCCCGCCCGCCACCGGGCACTCGGCTAAAGGGAATGCTCCGCATTTAAACATTGAAGCAAGCATCGCATATAATGAAATGCGTTCATCTATGATTAGTGGTGTACTTTTAACCGGAAAAGGCTGCCCTGAACATCAGAAGTTCTCTATTCAGTCAATATGCTCCTCAACGGGTCATTTTTGACGTCACCGTCGCGCCTCGCACAATATTGATTGAGAGCCAGTTGACGGCCGTCATACTTGGAAGTCGTGCCAACGAATGCCAGATAGGAACGACCCCATAAGTCATTTTTCTTTGCCTTAGTCGCCACAAGGCCAATGTAATGGCATAATTTGAATGGACGTTATTACGGCGTCATAGATGCGTACATAACCTTAATAGGTGTACACGAAGAGCAAAAATACGATGCGCGTGCGTGACACATCGTGTGCACACCTTCACGGGCGTATAGCTCGGAAACTAGAGGGGTTTAGGTCTTCAGAAGGGAAGGGCTTCAGTGAACCGCGCCGAATGATCAAGATGTTTTTTTTCTGTCCAAAACCCCATACAATTGTGGAACATTCCCTTGAAGTCTATCTGTACATCAGAAGTAATACAATGGCCAACAGAATCGATTTCTTGCGGTTCCATACTAGTTCCGGGCGAACCGTTACGCAATCATACCCTGCCCACCGCCATGTCGCCGGCGTACCGCACCTTGTCCAGCGCTGTCGGTGTAGCCCGCTCGTTCGGGCCCTGACGACGGCCGACGGCGTCGCCCGCAGCTTCTCCAGCCACCTGTGGACCATGTTCGGGCCGGAGAGCGCACCGGCCGAGTGGGACCCGCAGCGGCGGTACGCGCCCGGCCGGCTGGAGGTCTACTATGAGACCGATGACGGCCTGCAAGCCCGGCTGGTGCCCGTGCCTCCAGACACGCAGCTGAGCGCGGTGCTAGCCGACCCCAGGTCAGATTAATCGCCTTCCGGGAGCCGTAGCTACCTCGCCGATCGCGCTACGTGAAGTGGCAGCGGAAGTAGCCAAGGTGTTGGATTCTCTCGTTAATGCCGTTGTGCGGCAGTAGCTGGTAACCGGCTGTCTGAGCACAACTCATTGCGCTCGCAGCGGTCGCGTCGGCGACTCGTCCACCCAGTCTTGTGACGGGAAGCAATGACCGAGGCCCGCCCCAGTCGGCGTGCGGACAGCGGCGGCGTGCCCGGCTGGTGGTCCGTGCCGTGCCACCGAGGCCCGCTTGTGTGACCTCCCCTCCTCGTCCCCGGCAGGTACGTGGTCAAGGGAGGCGTGCCCGGTTTCGTGGTGCTGACGCAAGACTCGCCGTTCCGCGCAGAGTTCCTCGCCCGGTACGCCGTGGACGAGCGGTGACGGCTGTGCCCCCTCCCCCCACCCCCGCCCGGAGAGGAGGACCGAGGACCCCCCTCCCGCACGTCAGCAGCCGAAGCACGACCTACAGATGGCTCGGTTTTGCGCCCGGTCCGCTTTTCGAAGCTTGTGTAATGTGTTCGGAGTCTGATGAGACCCCACAATATATTCGAGGTTGTCTATACAACGTTGCTACGTTGGACGGGGCGGGGGAGACTCGCTGCTTTTGGAACGTTGCGGGCCGAGTTACCATCAGAGGCACCACGAAGAAACAACGCAGAATTTAAGGTGACAAATACGCTAACTAGGGGCCAGGTGTGCCCCAACGGCGTGGTCACGTACCCGTGGAACTTCGTACTCTCACCCAGCGTGCAGGTGATGTGACACGTCTGATGGGCTGCGGTCATTTCAGTTTTCTTTCTAGCGAACTCTTATCACCCAATGCAAACGGACGAGCGCAGTTTGTATTTATCTCGTCATTTCAGGAGAACATGACACAGGATCAAATCCAACCACCTGAAACAAAAGGAACAAGATGTTAGATTTAGTGCAACAGCAAAGCACACACTGATTTATAATGATGGAGAGCATGGAATCTATGGGCAAGCCACTTGTCCCAAACAGTGGTCTATGGTCTTTCATCCACAAACATATTTTTGGTTAAGAATGATCACTGTGCATTATAAGCACATTATACAATGAAGAAAAGTCACATCAAACCAAGACAAACAGCCAACAGACTGAGCAAATGGGCTGACTTAAGCATCCAACTCAATGGATACATGCCAAACCCATGTTCAAATTCATGCAGCACATTAAATGCTCAAGATCCTTTGATTTCACATTTCTAAGCACAGCCCACACAAGCGTGCCGAACAACAACACAGATATGGCATGTGCGCACCACACACCAAACAGGCATCTAGGCGCAAATATCTCCGCCTGATAGGTGGACAACTCAACAGGTGCATAGCCAAACTCAGTCCTCCACTTACCATACAGTCCCTCATCTGAGCCTCCTGGCTTCTCTCTCGGACTCGAGCAGCGTGATGATGTCTCCCTCGCGCACCGGGCCCTTGACGTTCCGGATAATGGCGCGGTTCGTCTCGTCCATGAACTCCACGCGCACCTGGGTGCACTGACCCTGAGAGCCAGTGCGGCCCAGCACCTTGGTCACCTGCCAAGACACAAGGGAACATCTTAGACATGGCTACATGCCGCATGCCCTCCGACTACAACCCATACACACAACCTAATAAAATTATATTGGCGATTGTTGATTTGTGGCACAAGATTTCCACTATTACTTCCCATCCAATGCCATAAGTCCCTGCAGTACCCGCCTGCAGTGCCTGAGAAACATGTCCAAAATTGCTCCCCTACATGAGTTATGAGAAAAACAAACAGGCCTTGGAGCTTGGTATTCTTCAGATCCAACAGATACCCCTGTCATACTGCTCTAGCTCATTCACCCAGAAAATGTTCTTCTCTGGCCTCCAGTAACAATCTTATGGCACCCATGACCTGTCACATGACAATGCTTTACAAACATGTAGCTTTCAGAAAGACTTATAATCTCAGCAAAGAATATGGTTAATTCAACCCAAAATTACCACAGAAATTGAGCTATTCAGATTTCATCCAATGTATTCTTGAAATAAGGAGCAGCAGCTTGTCTGCATAGAATACAAGGCTATACCCTACTGCACTGTAAAAACATTGGGCAACTTCAGATATCAGCTGTCGCCCACAAAAATCAAGACCTGTGAAGTGAGATTTGATATATACTTAAGTGAACACAACTCTACTCCTCACATTGCAATCTAAAATACAAACATATCATTCATCTTCAATTTTTTACATTTATTCCAAATGGTTTGTTTGTGTGACTTGGGGTTTATAGTACCAGCTAAGCACAGTTCATTGCATGTACCCTGAACCCATGACCCAAGTCATACCATCCATTTCAAGGATAATTTTGCCCCTGTCCTCGTGGCAGACAGAATGCCAGACAGGAATGCTGACGGGATTTATCTGTGCCACAATGCTGCAACATGGCCACCCTCTGCTGACACAAGTTGACCCTCATGGGCCTGTTGCCAGCTGGCCTTTCCATTTCAGTGGAGCCAAATAATGCACCTGCTCTGGGACTTGAGCCCAGTCACATCACATCAGATAACCCAGTCAGAAATGGGCTAAGGCTAAGGCTAGGCATAGATACAAATGGACCTAAGAACTTAAAACAACACTAAAATTGTGTGTGTACCAGAGATATTACGCAGCACTAGAAAACTATGGCAGGCTCAAATCAGCACTAAGTGCAAAGGCCCAGGTACCAACAAATCTATGGATCTTGCATCATGCAATGTTTCAGTCAGTTTTAATGGCCATGTGTTGAGTGTCATTGAGGATGGCTTGAAAATGCTCATATGCTGTAGGCTATATAAATTTGAGAACTCACATGATTACATTTTTACAATGTTGGTGGGATAATTGCATTGTACTCTGCAAGCATGTACCTACCTTCTCAGCAGACAGGGAAAAATTTAAACTCTCAACCCTTGCCTTTTGAGTCTTGTGTGCTAATAATGATATTGCACATTGCAAAAATCCTAATCTAAATGATAGGGTACTTGAACCAGGTTTATGAGCATAGAGATGGAACTATGGAGCTAAAGTTTACACTGCAAAACACATGTCATACTAAACATGTTCTGCTTACTACTGACACCCCAGCAACAACTTCATCCCATTGAGCCCCAAGTTTTCATGCAGTCACCACTTAATTCAGCACAGACAACATGACAACAAATTTTGAGCATGCAAGGCTGAGCCTAGCTATTTGAAAACATTTCTTTCAAAAGAAACAAATTGAAACATTCATATAGTGACCATGTTGCACTCATTTCAGCCATTTAGCCCTATCTGAACTTAACACATGTCACCACACACAAACATCACTGGGCATCTAGCACAACAAGTCAAGCAGATATGTGATAGAATAAAATACCCCTGAAATATTCCTGCTTCATCATAGTTCATGTCTGATGTCCAAGAAACATCCATTATTTAACCACTTAGCAGAGCAGCATAACAGAGGTGTAAAAGTTAACAATGAGTATCGAAATTTTCTTATCCTTGGAATAGATTCTTGAAGCATGAATTAAATACACTAACCAAAAACCGCGCGAGTTTTGCTTGCAGCAACTTCTATTCCGACACCTGGGCATTATCTCACTTGATCCACCAATAAAACAGGTACACACTTCCTCACTTGGGCATGAATGTGAAGTTTAGCACAGCCAGCACACTCCACCTTCAAAACAGAAGCTACCCTAGCGGCACTAAAATCACTACAGGGCCGTCAAGAACGCCACCACAGCAGCATGGAGCCCTGCAACATCGATACTAACACGGCGCAGCTATGTAGCATGACATGAGGGGAGAATATAGCAGCCACTGCCAGTAAAAGCGTACAAAATAACCGAAATTTCATAACTACAATCCACACCACTGAGCTTGATATCATATTAAACTGGATGCTTACACGGGCGAGCTGAACTGGCTTGTCCATAACTGCACACCGGTTTCGTACACACCGGAAAAGGACGCGGTAGAGAAGCTCACAACCAAACAAGCACCGAAACACAGCACTATCGATATGTTGTCGGCACAAGAGTGGCTCTGCTCAGTGCTCACTACTAAAATTGGCACGTTTCTGAAAATGGGTGAGTAAAAAGTAAAAAACGAGGGTTTGCGATCTGGCTAAGTAGGGGGGTACAAAGGGCACGTTCCTGCTCGAGACCAGTGGTGCAGCAAAGAGGGGGGGGGGGTCACAGTGGACGCCTGCCACCCTTAGTTCCCAAGGGGACCTTCGGGCCTCTCGCAGCCTACAATTTAGTGCCCAGTTTAAGAGCCCAAAGGGTCCGAATTCCAGCCATTTACATTGGACGAAGCCTCAACGAACGTTAGGGCCCCGCAGCACATAAGAAGGGGGCAGTAGAACAGGCAGGGGGCACAGGGGCACGTGCCCCTCACCCCGTAAAGTTCCGAGGGGCCATTCGGGCCCCTCGGAAGCTACGATTAAGGGTCCAATTTGAACGTCCGAATGGTCTGAAAGGCTGGCCGAAGGTCGCATTCGGGAGCTCTGGCCGGCAGGGCCGGGCACTCTAATGGCAGACCCCGCGCGTTGGTCAGGGCCCCCTGTGTCGACAGCAACCTATATGTTGGTCAGATACCACCAGTAACGCACAGCCGGTTCCGTAGCGGCACAGGCCTGAGGGCCCATTTCCCAGACAGGAACAAAGCCAGAGCCAGCGATTTACATTGGTAGTGGCTGCGGCGTCTGTCATCGCCCCACAGCGCCTTACAAGGACCCTGTGATGGCAAGGGGCCCCGAGCCGGCCAGAGGCAGTGTTTGAGAAGACCCCGAGAGCCTAGAAAGCCCATCAAGCCCGACGATCAAGCGCCAGATTGGAGGGTCTAGGGGCACGAGGGGCTGGTCGGAGTCTTATTCAGGGGTCTCGGCCCAAGGGGACGGGTCCTCAAATAACAGTCAGAATGCCCTTTGAGCCGATCAGTAACCCCCTGAGTCCAAATGAGCCTATAGATCGGTCAGGCACCCTCAGTATCGCACAGTCGGCTCCGTGTCGGTATTGGCCGGCGGGCCCGTTTCCCAATCAGCCATAAACTTGGGGCCAGTGGTTTACACTGGTCAGGGCCCTGTTTCTGTCAGCGGCCCACAACGCTTAACAGGGGACCTGTGCTCTCAAGGGACCCAGAACCGACCAAGGGGAATACTTGATGAGACCCGAAGAGGGGCCCGGGCGGCCCATGGGAACCAGCAATCAAATGCAGGGCTGGAGGGCATAGGGCTCCAAGGACTGGCTGTAGGTCACATAAAATCGCGGCCTGTAGGGTCGTGACCTAAAATATCCGTCAGAGATCCCCTTGGTCCATTTGTAGGGCCCTGATATAATGCGGATGTTTAAGTCGGCGACGACGAAACCGAAAGAAATAACGAACGCCGAACGGTCGGCCCCATGTTCGTCCGAGTCCTTGAGAGTTTGGGGTCCCTGACGTCACCAGGGGCTCCTGTGTCGGTCAGGAGCCACAGTCCCTAACAAGGGTCCTGTGGCGGCAAGTGGCCCGAGTCGGAGCAGTGTTGGAGGGTCCCGAAGAGTGGCCGAATGGTCTCTCGAGAACAGAGATCAACGGTCCGATTGGAAGGCTGAAGGGTCTGAAAGGCCGGCTGCAGGTCACCTGAAGGACCCTCACCCACAGGACCCTAATCTCAAATGTCATTAAGAAGAACTATTGCACCGATTGGGACCCATGAGACAGAGCATTCCTCTATTTCGGCCAGAGGTCAACAACAACGAACATTTGGCTCCGTGTTGGTCTGAGCTCTTGGGGGCCCATTTCCCAAGCAGGAACAAGGCCAGACCAGCGATTTACGTTGGTCGCGGCTCCTGTATCGTTCAATGTCCCACAGTGTCTAACAGGGTATTA